CATATATAATTCCTACACCACAGCCGTTCTTTGTTGAGCTTCCGTCTACATACACTTTCCAAACCTGGTCAAGATTTTTCGTTTGCACCGGTCGGGTCATTTCAACAATGAAGTCGGCAAACGCCTGACCTTTCACTGCTTTCCTAGGTTAAAAAGTTATTTCAAGACTTTGCATTTCAATAGCCCATTTCAACATTCTTCCGGATGACTCCAGGGTAGACATTGGCCGCTTGAGGGGCTGGTCGGTGTAGATTACCACCGGATGAGCCAGGAAGTATGGCTTCCATTTCTTGAAAGCCATATACAGGTCAAGGCCAAATTTTTCTACCATGGGGTACCGGAGCTCAACATTTTTTAAGACATGGCTAATGAAATAGACCGGAAGCTGAACACCGTCTCTCTCAGCAAGGAGAACGGCACTGAGGGCATGATCTGAGACAGCTAAGTACATGTATAACACCTCCCTAGGCAATGGACTAACAAGTCTTGGCAAATAGTGGAGGTGTTCTTTAAGCCGTTGAAAGGCCGCCTCATCCTCATCCCCCCATTCAAATCTGGTTTTCTTCCTGATTGCTTGGAAGAAGTAAAGGCATTTGTCACCTGACCGGCTGAGGAATCTCCCCAGAGCGGCCAGGAAACCGGTTAGTCTCTGTGCTTCCTTGACAGTGCGGGGTGACTTCATGTCAATCACCGCCTGTATCTTCTCAGGGTTAGCCTCTATCCCCCTTTGATCAATCAGGAATCCGAGAAACTTCCCACACTCAACACCAAAGACGCATTTCTTAGGATTTAACATGACCTTATACCGCCTGAGTGTGGTGAAGGTTTCTCGGAGATCAGCAAGGTGATCCGGCTGCTGTTTCGATTTGACTATCATGTCATCAATGTATGCCTCTACATTCCTCCCAATTTTATTAACAAAGACAGTGTTAATCATCCGTTGGAATGTAGCCGGCGCATTTTTCAAGCCAAACGGCATCACCGTGTAACAGAATAGCCCTTGATCAGTGACGAAGGCCGTTTTTTCTTAATCTTTCTTCCACAGGGGTATCTGATGGAAGCCGGAGTAGGCATCCATGAAACTCATCAAGGTGTGACCGGCTGTAGAGTCGACCAGATTGTCGATCTTTGGAAGCGGATAACTGTCCTTTGGACACGCCTTGTTGAGATATGTGTAATCAACACACATGCGCCAGGTCCCATTCGGTTTCTTAACAAGGACCACATTGGCCACCCAGTCGGGAAAATTACAAGGCCGAATGAACCTGGCGTCTAGCAGCTTTTTGACTTCGGCAGCTGCCGCCTGACTTCTTTCCTCGCCGTGGTTTCTTTTCTTTTGCCGGATGGGCTTCTTTTTGGGGTCCACAGCGAGTTTGTGGACAGCGAGATCCGGGCTGACGCCTGGCATCTCTTCCACTTCAAAGGCAAAGATGTCTTTGAATTCCTTCAGCAGAAGGTGCAAGTTTGCACCCAAAGTAGCATGAGTAACCGTCCCAACCTTAACAGTACGTTCTGGACGGCTGTTATCCAGAACGAGATCAATGCTTTCGCCAGCCGGTTGGGGACGGAGCTCATCTGACCGCTCACCGGTCAGTGATTGCTATTTTTTCTCCTTCTTCACCTCCACCAGCAGAGGTGCCTTTCTTTTCTTACCGGCTGTTGGTGGGGCGGGTGCTGGATCGGCATCCTTGACATTGTCAAGGTCTATTGGTTCCTGGACACTTGGGGTTACAGTGTCCCTGACGGCTGAGAGGTAGCACTCCCGAGCCATCTTCTGATCCCCATTCAGGGAACCAACAGTGCCATCATCCTTCTCATACTTGATGAGCATGAGAGATGGGATGATTATTGCCTTGGCTACGTTGAGGGTTGGCCGGCCTAAAATAATGTTGTAGGCGGTCAGCTCCTCAACGACCAAGAATCTGACGACAATATGTCGTCCCTGGCCTTTCTCCCCCAGCCGGATGGGTAAATCAATTCTTTCAGCTGGGTAGACCATCCCACCCCCAAAACCAACCAAGGGGTGGGTGACCGGATGCATGCTGCTGATATTGTATTTCAGCTTCTGCAAGCACCAGAGGCTAATGATGTCTGATGAGCTGCCGGTGTCAATAAGGATTCGTCCAACCAGCTGGTTAGCAACCTTACATTCAATGACCACCGGGTCATCATGCGGGCGGCGGACGTTGCCCCTGTCCTTCTCAGTGATTAAGACGTCTGGGAAGGAGGAGCTGGCTTCCGCCTGCTCATCATCATCTTTGTCCATCTTTCAAAGATGGCTCTTGGTGCCCCTGATGGTAGGGCCACCACATGAAAACCCGCCTGCTATAGTGTAGACCGGCTCCTTGTCGGTATCCGAACTACTAGCAGGCTGGGGGATAGTCTTGGAGGACTGACCCTTGTTTTTCTTTTTTGCCCCGGCTGGGGACTTGGAAATATAGGACTTCAGCATCCCCTTGTCAGCCAGACAATCCAACGTCCGCTGTAAGCTGAAGCAGTCGTTGGTGTCATGGCCAACTTCCTCATGATATTGGCAAAATTTATTTTTGTTCCTAGATTGAACGGAACTTTTCATTGGATTCGGCTTCTCAAGGGACAGCCGATCCTTTATCTCCATGAGGATGCAGTTGCAGTCCTTGTTAAACTCGTACTTTGGGACGTACGGTTTAAATTCTTTCTTCTTCTTCTGGGACGGCTGGTCAGAGTCACTAACCGCCCAAACCTCTTTTCTCTTCTTGCTCTCTTCTTTCTTTTTTGCCGGCTGAGAAGGCCGGTTGTCTCTCTGCTTGTCAAACTTCTTAGAGTCCGACTAGCTACCAGGCGAGCAGAGGTCGGTAGCTTGAATGTAGCTTTCCGCCTCCCTCAGGGCCGCCTGTAGGGTGAAAGCCCCTTTTCTGACTAGGTCGAACTTAAAGGTCGACCCGTCTCTCAGACCTTTAAAAAAGTCTGTAAAAGCTACCTCATCAGACGGTCCCTGAATCTGAATTCTGATCAGGTTGAACCGCCTGACATATAAGCGCAGCCCTTCTCTCTCTCCCTGCTTAACAGTGCTCAAATCAAGGCTTGTTTTCTTAGCAGGGATGTTCATTGAGAAGTTGGAAGCAAACAGGAAGGCAAGCTTCCTGAAGCTGTCTATGGACCCGGCTGGCAGGTTGCCAAACCATTGTTGGGAAATGCCCTTTAATGTAGCCGAGAAGCATCGACACCAAGTGGCATCATCCAACCCCTGCAGATACATGAGGTTGGTGTAAGCCATGAGGTGGTCTTCCGGATTGGTGGTACCATCATAGGTACCAACCAACACATTCTTAACCTTGGTCGGCTGAGCCGCCTCGGTTATCTCCCGAGTGAACGCAGAAGGTTGTTCACCCAGGCGCAGCAGGCGAAGCTGCCAGTCCAATGGCTGGACATTTGGATACGCCGCCTGACCCCCAAAGAAGGTCGGCTGCATGAAGTGAGGAGGATATTGCCCGTAAGCCTGAGTAGGCACATACGGGACGACTCCAATCATATGAGGGCCAGAATGGACGGTATTACCGCCTGTCTGGCTCTCATGCAAGGAGGGTGCACTCCCTGTAGAGATGTTGTTGAAGCTGTCTGGAAAGTTCGATGTTGAAGCCGACTCAGACATCGATTGATTTCTCTTCCGGTTAATAATCTCCCGGGCATCAAGAGTTGATTTTTTACTTCTCACCGGCTGCTGAGGCCAGCGAGTGTTATTGGTGTTCCCTCCAGGAAGGAGAATTTTTTACCAATCAATGGTCCCGACTGCCTTCTCCTTTGGATGGGGAGTGGGCTGCCGGTTTCTGACTGACTTCCCCTTCTCTGGAGGAGTCTTCTTCGCCGACTGACCTTTACTTGGGCCAGCCCTGCTTTTGGTGATTAGCTCTGTAATTTCACCCTTGAAACTCGTCATGAACCTCATGAGTTCGTCTCGAGTGACAGGGGCTGATCCATCTGCCGTTTGGGTTGCCCCTTCCTGCTGCCCAGGGGGTCTGCTCGGACCCGCCTGGGAGGCACCCCGCTCCAGAGTGTCTCTAGGCCGGATGCGTTTAGTTCTGAGAGAGCCGTCTTCGGCTGTAAAAGCTTCGACCTGAGGATCTTCATCCTCATGGTCTGTAAAAACTTCTGGATCTTCACCTAGACGGTTAGGGGGTGGTACAGATTCTTGAACCATCTTCGAGGTACTCTCCCTACAGACGGCGCCAAATGTTTTGGGTGTTTTTGTCCATTGGGAGAGTTACAACACGAAGACTGATCCGCAATGAGCTGTACCTGCAAAACAAACGGAGACACCGGTTGGGTGGTGCTCCGCCTCCGACGCACAAGTCAGTAACTTGAAACGGAATAGAGAAAACGGAAATTTAGGTGGGTATCTGCTCGGGTTCCAAGCTCAGGTCTTTCTCTAACGTAAGAGAATAAGGGTGTAATTAATGATTTTTTCTCTCCCCCAAAGTGGGGAAATATCTCCCTATTTATAGGGTCGTTGGAAAATGCGCCCCTACCTAGGTCACTTGACCTAGATTTTAGTGGGCTACGCCGTTTTACGGCGCGCTTAGGAATCTGGGCCTTTGAAGGCCGCCATTTTGGAAACATATCTGAGGGCGCCAAGTGTCAAGAGGATGTTGAGCCACATGGGCCATCCTAAGCTCAACACGTGGCGACCTCTCATTGGTCCACGTGTCTAGGGTAAAAATACCCTAAACACATACTGCTATGCAAATACTTAGAAAATGGATTATAGGATTCCTAACTAACAAAATACCACTAACAAATAAATAGCATGTTCTTATCCTAAACTTTATGAATTACTTTGAATCAATCCAACAAACTTGATTGGTCTCGACATGCCAGCCCATTCCTCAAGTGAAGTGATTGTGATTTCTTCATTGTGCTTGAGGTAAATGGACAATGCCTCTTGGCTACTAAGGGCAGCCATGGTAAGCCTTCGAAGTTGCTTGTGTTCTTTCGGTGTGATACCATGAAATGCCTTTATCCCCATGAGTTTGGTGATTGATTCAGGGAAACAAGGCCCAAAAGTTGCATCTTCTGATAAAACATTTTTGCAGGATTCAGGTGTTGTTACTATGACACAGGGTTTTCCAAACATTACAACTTTGTATATTACTGTATGCCCAAATCTGTAAATTTTTATCCAAGTAACATTTTGATTATATAGTCGATGATAGATTAGAATAAGTCCACTTATCTTATAATAAAAGTTACATGTACAACATAGATGTTTTTTTTCCTTCTTTTCGTGTGTTGTGTTTAGAGAGCCACAAGGATGGATGATAAGAATCAATCCAAGGATCACCAAAAACCGGGAGGGAAGCTTTAACTACTTGAGTTAACCCTCACATTATCTCTGTACAACATAAAAGTTAACTTAACTAAGGGGTATCCAAAACAGGAATACGCACAGAACAACAAGAGTGACCGAACAATAGAAAAATTGAGTAAGAGTGACAAAGAGAAACCTTTCAGCGAGGGTGGAGATGAAGGAATCAGGGTTATCAGACTTAAGGAAAGATATTTGAGTGCTAATGAAAGGCCATTCCATATCACCAGGAGGAAGTTGTCCTTTAATTTTGCCTAAACTCCTCACATAAAACCACTCAATTGCATTTTTTAGGAGCCCAAAATGCCAATAAACCTCCCAAAATAATACTCAACACCATCCAAAATGACCACCTTATCTCCATTTAATTTCCAGCAATCAAATAATTTGAAATAGTTTTTTGTTTGATAATTTTTTTTCAATTGAAGAAAAGTAGTTTTTATAAGATGATTGGTTTTCTTTTTAAGTTGTAACTTGAATTTTATGTTCAATGTATGTTACCTATATTTATAGTTAAGAAACATAAACTATTACCAAAAAAAAAGTCCCTCTCTAGAGTGAGTAAGTCCCTAGTCTAGAGTTTTGGCAATAGTTTTCTTCCTCAATTTTCTTTCTTCCCTGATCAATTTTGAAGCTTTCAACTTGATTTCCTCTGTTTCTTGAGTGTCTGATATAAAATATGGGTGATGACTTGGCGAAAGAGTGGGAAATACTCCGGTTAACATAGGAAGAAGGTGTGGTGTTAGGAGGTGACTATGTTGAAATCGTTAGTGATGATACAAAAACTAAAATAAATCTCACTCTGGTGGGAAAATTATGGACTGTGAAACCATATAACCTTGAAGCAATGACGAAATAAGATGAGTTATGCCACTCTTTTATCCTTTTTTCTCTAAGGATTCTCCCCTCATTTGCACTTGGTTGACCTTTTTCTAAGAATTTTTACTTAGTTTTGTTTTCTCCTTTCCCTTCTCTTTTATCTTCCTTTTTCTTAGTCTTTTTGCCTTCTCTTTATTTTGATTTCCATGCTTGTGTTATAAAAGTATCATATGCCGAAAAAAGGAGGACTTCAAGGATCTAAGTACGCTGTTCTGCGCGGGATACTGCGCGGCTACTACGCGGGCGCGCATCCTTGGTTGTGCGGGTGCACAGCCCTATCAGAACTCGCGCAACCAAGCTTATGAAGCAGAGCCAAACCAGAGAGTTTGTGCGACCTACTATGCGGACTCTGTGCGGGCGCGCGACCTGATGTGCGGGCGCGCCTCATTTCCCCGTACCCTCAAATTTGCGGCCACGCAATATTGTGAGAGGGCGCACATTACTACTGTGCGGGCGCGCATACGTCGTGTGCGGGCGCGCATCACTGGGTTTCTGATTTCTTTGAGCCTTGTTGCTCAAGTTTCTTTCTTCTGGGGAGCCACATATATATAGTCCAAACACTTTTTAATGACTTTTACTTAATTCGAATTCCAGAGAATATTATCTTAATCTAGAGAGAGAAATTAGTTTATTACTCAAGTTTCCTTATTGTATTCAATTTTGGTCAAGTTTAATCTTCAATCAAGCAACCTTTCAAGTTTTCATCTTTCATTAATCCTTTCTTTAGTAATCTCTAATCCTTTCTTTTAGCTTTATTTATTTGCTTTATTTTTGCTTATTTTTGTTAATCTTATTAGTTCATCTAGTTATTATTGATTTCCTTGTTCTTAATCATGTTTTGTTTTGAGTTTCTTGAGTCTGTTTCTAGTTTTGATATTATGTTTAATCTCCCTTCTCTTGGCTAATCTCTTAGCTAGGGGAGGGGGGTGGAAAACATGTGTTGATATTGGATGAATGATGATGGTTGGATTGAACTCATGCCATAAATTGATGAAAGACATGATTTTTGATAGCTTGAGATTATTGTTGCACTCTATTTGATGTTTTCTAGTTTAAATGCAAGAAAGTGATTTGAACTAGATTAAGATCATCTCTATTTTAATGATTGCATGAGAATGAGTTATTAAAGTGGAGTTTTTATAGATTGTGCTTCATTATTCTCTTGATTTGATTGTAACTAATAGGATGCATGAGAATGATCCTTATTAGTATAGACCTCTTTCATTGATTTGCCTAGACTATTGCATGAGAATGAATTGTTTAGGTAGAATCTTGTGTTCTTTGGCATATGTTTCATGATAATCATTATTATTCACCCTCTTTCTAATCATATTTGACACCCTCATATCCCTAGCGTCATTTCCCCTTGATTTTAATCATCATTTTCTTGCTTATTTGTAGTTTTAGTGTTCTTTACTCAACAAAACCCACAAAAACAATCCCCTTTTTACTCTCGCATTAGTGAATATTGATGTTGAATTAGTGTGCTTCCCTAGTGGTTCGGCCCTTTACTTGCCACTAACTAGTTTGGTGTAAGTTTAGGTATTATAAATGATTAATTTGATTAGGGTAGTAGTTTAACGACCTATTTAACCCGTGATCAGAAAACCCTTGCAAACGTGTGGAGATTAGAAGAAAAATTTGCAATTAGGGTTGTTGAAATGAACCTATTTGTTTTCCAATTCTTGTGTGCGGAAGATAAAGAACGAGTTCTTGAGGGGAGACCGTGGTTTTTCGATGAGAAATTACTCCTTTTGCAGGAAGTTAATGGGGATGAGCAGCCTTCTGAAATGGTATTCAAACAAACTCCTATGTGGGTTCGTCTCCTTGATGTGCCATTGAAGAAAAGATCCCTGGAAGTTATGTATGATGTTGGAGAATTCTTAGGGGGTTTCATAGAGGCAGATGAATCTGATCCTCTAGGGTGGAGGGATAGCCTGCGAATCAAAATTCTTGTGGACATCAATAAACCGCTGCGACGTGGATTGTTCTTAGCAATGGGGAAAAATCAGTCGAGGTGGGTCGATATTAATTATGAGAGGCTGGCGGATTTTTGATTTTTCTGTGGTCGACTTGAGCATACAGAGAAAGAATGTCAGTTTAAAGAGTAGGAGAAAGGGAATGCTACAGAGATGGTGTATCAATATGGTCCTTGGTTGCGTGCAACTCCAAAAAAGAGATTCAAAATTGACCTGGCAGAAAGAGAGATGGAGAAATCATGGGTAGAGCGGTTCAAGAATGTAGCAACGGCAAAGAAAGCTCCTAATTATAATGATCCGGGAACCATCAAACTTGGACCTATTGGGGCAGCAAGAAGAATGGCTTTCTCTTCACCAAATTCTCATGGTGAGGGAGACGTGAATGTTTCTGTTAAAAGGAAAAGAAGATGAGCTGCGGGCTGTGTTGGATAGTAGTGGAAAAAAGATGGTATTGAGGACGAGAGGGGCTAGAATATGTGAGAAAAATGCTGCTTCAATTCCAGAAATTCACACTGATGGTGCAGGGGAAATAAGGAAGGAGAGAGAGGAAAGTATGGGTATGGTGGGGAGCGATGAGAGTAAGATAAGGAGTAGGGAGGAAAAATATGATGGGGCTGTAGGGGGTTTTAACACTGAAAAAGAAAAGATGGTGATAGATTATAAGGACCCCAATGAAACAGTGGTAGCTGATGGAAAAAGGGAGGAGACTGAAAAAATTGTTGAAGGAGAAATCATGAGAAACAAAGTAAAGAATGATGGTGTACAGGAGGGGGTAAAGGGGGGAGGGCTGAGGAAAGTTAACATAATCAAGAGTGACAGTCAGGTAAAGGGGGCAGGGAACCGTATGAGTGGAGGGAAAAGGGGAGTTTGTGAGAAAGATGATGAGAGCTTTGACATGATCATGGAGCGTGGTGAGGATGAACTAGAAATTAAGAAGCGTAAGGTGATTCTGTCTAATCAAGAAGTGGCGGGCCCCACCCAATGGGCTCTCGGTAAACAATGAATTACGTCCTCTCTTGGAATTGTAGAGGTTTGGGAAGCACCTTGGCGATAAATGCAGTAAAAAATGTAGCTTTTCTTGAAAATCCCCAAATTATTTTCTTGTCAGAAACTAGGTTGAAGAATCATGAGATGGAAAAAGTTAAAAATAAGCTCAGATTTAATAATATTCTAGCTGTTAGTTGTATGGAAGAAGGAAGGAAAAAAGTGGAGGGCTAGCCCTTTTGTGGAAAGACTCGTTGGAAGTGGAGGTAAAGTCGTATTCTTTGAACCATATTGACTCGTGGGTAAAGATAACAAGAAAGCAAGGATGGAGATTTACTGGGGGTTTATGCTTCCCGAAATCGGAGAAGAAATATTTCACTCGATCTTTGTTAGAGAATCTGAGAGGTGATCCAAGTAAGCCATGGGTTTGTGGGAGTGACTTCAATTTGATATTTTTGTCAAGCGAGAAACAAGGTGGTAATGACTTCCGAAATGATGAAGCTGGCATTTTTAGAGAAGTTGTTGCCTCGTGTGATTTGGTGGACTTGGGTTGTGTGGGTCATAGATTTACATGGACAAACAATCAAGGTGGGAGCCGCAATGTTCAAGAACGCTTGGACCGATTTTTGGCAAATAAAAAGTGGAAAGACATGTTCCCTGGTACTTTTGTTTCTCATCTATCCAAGAGAAAATCAGACCACTTGCCAATCTTGCTTTGTATCAGTGAAAGTGTGGGAAAAATAATAAAGAAAAAATATAGATTCGAAGAAATGTGGCTTAGAGATGAAATGTGTGGTGAAATAGTGAAGGATGCTTGGAGTTGGGGAGGGGATATTTGCTCCAAAATAGCTCATACATCGATGAATTTGAGTGCTTGGAGTAGAAACAAATTTGGAGACTTTATGGAGGAGATGAAGGATTGTAGGGCTATGATGGAGAGTCTTCTGAGAGAGGTTCAATCGGATGAGATTATTACACAAATGCGGGCCTTAGATGATAGGATGGATGAATTGGAGAAAAGGGAGGAACTATATTGGAGGCAACGGAGTAGACAAGACTGGCTCAAAAATGGCGATAAAAATACCACTTTTTCATACGAAGGCTAGCCAAAGAAAATCGAGAAATCACATCCGGGAAGTCAAAGATGCGGTCGAAAATATTTTCAATGATGAAGAGCAAATTACAGAGGTGTTTGTTCGCCATTTTGATGACTTGTTTTCCTCCGGAGGTCAATGTGATATGGAAGGTGTGTTAGAGAAAATCGATTATGCAATTTCGGATGATCAAATTGCAGAGCTTGCTGCCCCTTTTGTTGGTGAGGAAGTGTGTGAGGCGCTTTTTCAGATGCATCCTACGAAAGCCCCTGGCCCCGATGGTATGTCTGCTATTTTTTTTCCATAAATTCTAGAATGTTGTGGGTAGTGATGTAGTCAATAACACTTTGAATATTTTGAATAATGGTAGTGATATAGGCTCTATTAATCTGACGCACATTGTTTTAATTCCGAAAAAAAAGAGTGTGAGTCTCCTGTTTATTATAGACCTATTAGTCTGTGAAATGTTCTATATAAAATTGTGTCGAAGGTGTTGGCAAACAGACTTAAAAAGGTTCTACCTTGTATTATTAATGAGTCTTAAAGTGGCTTTGTTCCTGGTAGACTTATCACTGACAACATTCTGGTGGCGTATGAGTGTTTTCATTTTCTACGGAAGAAGAAAAAAAAGAAAAAAAGGTTATATGGGGTTGAAATTGGACATGAGCAAGGCCTATGACAGGGTTGAATGGGTTTTTCTAGAAAAAATGATGTTGAAATTTGGTTTTCCGGAGCCTTTTGTGCAGAATATTATGAGATGTGTCTCTTCGGCTTCATTCGATGTGCTTGTTAACAGGCAGCCATCTCGAGCTTTTAGGACTAGCAGAGGGCTTCGACAGGGCGACCCATTATCTCCCTTCTTGTTTATTATGTGTGCGGAGGGTCTCTCTGCTCTACTCCGGGATGCGGAGAGGAAAAATCTCATTCATGGGATCAAGATCGGAAGACATGTTGATCCAATTTCCCACCTATTTTTCACTGATGATAGCCTTTTATTTGTTAGGGCTAGTGAAGAGGAAGCAAATACTTTCCTAGATATTTTATCTACCTATGAGGTGGCGTCAGGCCAGAAACAGAATATGGAAAAATCGGAAGTGTCCTTTAGCCGAAATATTGAGCTTGAAAAGAGAAATATGCTTCAAATGAAGTTAGATTTTAAGGCCGTCGAAGGACATGATAAATACTTAGGTTTTCCGACTTACGTTGGGAGCTCTAAGAAGAAAATTTTCCAGAATATTCAAGATCGGGTTTGGAAGAAGCTCAAAGGGTGGAAGGGTGGCTATCTTTCTCAAGTGGGAAGGAAAATTCTGATAAAGTCTGTGGCGCAAGCCATTCCCACATATGCTATGCAATGTTTTTCTATCCCCGTGAGTATTTTAAACGAGGTAGAAAAAATGTGTAGGTCTTTTTTCTGGGGGCAGAAGGGTGAAGAGAGGAAGATGAGTTGGATTGGTTGGGATAAGATGCTCCGATCAAAAAATTACGGAGGTTTGGGATTTAGGAATATGAGGCTTTTCAACAAAGCTATGCTAGCAAAACAAGCATGGAGAATTTTGAGTAATAAGGACTCCCATATGACTCGGGTGCTTAAAGGAAAATATTTTCCTTCCTCCAATTTCCTTGATGCAAAATTTGTTCCTAATATGAGCTATACATGGAGGTCAATCCTAAGTTCTAGAGATGTGATTGAGAAAGGGGCAATAAAAAATGTCAATGTGGGTAATAATGTGTGAATTTGGGATGACCCTTGGGTGCCAAAACTCCCAAATTTTTGAGTTTTGTCACCAAGGAGAGATGATGATGATGGGCCGTGTTTTGTGAATGAGTTGTGGGATCATCAAAGGTGGAATATGTCTAATCTTGCGGGTCTGTTTACGCAACTGGAAATCAATAATATTAGTAGCATTCCCATAGCTATTTTTGCGGAGGAAGATGCCTGGTCTTGGTATCATTCGAAGGATGGTCTTTATAGCGTTAGAAGTGCCTATAACCTGCTTGGTGAAGAAGAGGTAAGGGGTACTGCATCTGCATCTACATCTAATGGGCATGTCTCTTTTAATTGGAAAAGCATTTGGAGTGCTAATATACCCCCAAAGATCAAGATGTTTGCGTGGAAGACAGTAAGATAGGGTCTGCCTGTGTTGAAACGCTTGGCTGCGAGGGGTTTGACTGTGGATAGCTGTTGTCCATTGTGTGGGGAAGGGGAGGAATCTACTGATCACATGTTGCTCTTTTGCCCAACTGTTACCTCAATATGGAGACACTCAGTGTTGCGTTTAGACAAAAATTCCATTGTGTCTGATGGGTTTAGAGATTGGTGTAATGTGATGTATGAAAAAATCAAGGAGAAAAAGTGGTGGCATATTTTCTGGAGTGTGGCTTGGGGAATTTTGCTTAAGAGGAATGCTTGGGATTTTGAAAAAAAAGAGTAGAGGGAGGCTGGCATTTTACACAAAGCTGCTAGCATAGTAGGTGAGTATGAGGAGGCAAATTCTAAGGGCGATATGGTGCAGCAGGACCAGCATTTTAGTTCCAAATGGGTTGCACCTGCTGCTGGTCTGTATAAATTGAATACAGATGTAGCATTTCATGAGCAGCTGCTGGGTATAGGAGGCATTGTGAGAGATGCGGAGGGGGATGTCCTGGTCGCATTCTGTTCAACTGAGAAGGGGTGTGTGAGTGTGGATGTTGGTGAAGCAATAACAATGAGAGGAAGTTTGAGGATTGCTATGGAAGCTGGATTCCAGAAGTTTATTCTCGAGATCGATAATCTGAAGCTTTTTTATCATATGAAGAAGGGAATTACTTCTCCTTGTGCGTTTGGTGGAGTGGTCAGGGACATACTGCAGCTTGCTCGTGGCTGCCAGAGTGTGTCTTACCCTTTTGTTCGTAGGACAGATAACTCCGTTGCTCATAACTTAGCACAGTTAAGTTTTAATTTTAGTGAGTATCGAGTGTGGCTCGAGGTGTGTCCCTCTGAGATTCAGGGAATAGTATGTAATGATCTTGATTCCAGTTGATTTTAATAAAATGTGTTAAGCTGCGTTTTCCGTCAAAAAAATAAAAAAGAAACATAAACTATTGTAGTATACATTTTAATAAATTGTGTTGAGCTGCGTTTTCCGTAAAAAAAAAAAAAACAAAAAAAACAAAAAAAACAAAAAACAAAAAAAAACCATATGCTTGTAATTCTAGTATCATGTAGATATGGTGACAATGGTGTATATTATATATGATACCTTTGTAACATACAATACATGAATCAACCTCTGAAAGTACTCAAAATCTTAAAATTTTAGAATTTTAAAAAATATTGAATATAAACGAATACTTTATGATCTTGGATGATTTATTAAAAATAATTTATACTAATATATTAAAAGGCTTTATTAAGAACGTCATACGGGGATTCGAATACCCTTTTATAAGAAAGATAGTTACTTAACCATCCAAGACAATCATAAGCGGCTATGTTATAAACATGAAAATAAATGTATATAATTGATAATCACAAGGTCTAATTAAAGTAGCAACCGGTGCAACGCCCGGGCTACAGACTAATTAGGTTTTATAAGGTGTTGGTTGAAATGTTTATAAAATCAGATATTCTGATGTATATTATCGCGTTAACAGATGATACATAAGAGTATAAAACTCCTTCAAAATTTTAAAATTCTAAATAGCAAGGTGGCTCTAATTAGGACGAAGTATAAATCAGATCATAAAGATACATTGTTTCTTTTTTTTTTTTTTTTTTTTTTTTTTTGAAAACAAGATACATTGTTTCTTAATACTACGTAAATTAGATTAGAAAATGACGATGATTACGACTTTAAGCGAATGAATGAGGTCACGATGCTTTTATATAATATATAAATTTAATGGTACCAAATTATCATTAGTGGGTCCATAGCTCAGTGGTAGAGCAATTGACTGCAGATCAATAGGTCACCGGTTCGAACCCGGTTGGGCCCTATTAAACAATTTTAGCATTTTTTTTAAAGACCAAAATCTTAGATCGAAGTGTTTTTTTTATAGGATAGATCTCAAGATCTCTTAAAATCAAAAGAGAAACTCTAACCACTTAAGCTATTCCACACTCTCCCTATTATTAAATGAGGCAAGTCTTATCTATATCTATATCTATACTTAGTATTTAAAAACACAAACTAAAAATGTCACATGTCCTCCTATTCCACCTTTCTCTAGAAGCATTCTCTTTTTTTAGGTTTACATATAACTTGATGTGGATTTAAACCCCTTAACTTAATAAAGAATCTAAAATCACACAAGTAACACAAGCCCTTCGAATTTCCTAAGAAAATCGAACAACTTAAGAATAACGAACCGGATATGACTTTGAAAACGACCACTCCTGGAACGAATTCAACGCCTCTCAAATTACCTAGACCACTCCTGGAACTAAGTACTTTGATGAACAAAACTTAGACTACTCCTAGAACTAAGAATTGAACGTTCTAATTATCAAAACAACTCCTTGAATTGAAAACTAGCAAAAGAATTTGTAAGCAATTAAGCAAAACAAACAATAAACTTGTATTGAATTTTCTGGTTTTGGTTGTGTATACAAAGCCACGAAAAATCCCTTATTTATAGACTAAACTAACTATTCCTAAGTCTATTCGAACTAGGAAAAAAAAACCCTAGCCTTGATCCCCAAGTATCCTAGATAGAATAGGAAAACCAATTCTAATGGAACTAGGAAACTAGTAATAAGACTAGTTCTAATTAAACTAAAACTTCTTAAAACAATTCCTAATTGACTTAGAAATTATTTTAAACTAAAATAACAGAAATTAAGAAGATTCCTAATTGCTTAAACCAAGAAAAACCCTTTCAAGTGAAAGGTAAAAACTTGCAAGCAAAAACTCTAGAAAAAACTAAGTTAGGAAAATCTTTCTTTTCGTACTGCCGCCGAACCACCGTCTCACGCGCCGCCATCATCGACACGCGCCCCACCGCCGTGTAGCTGGACTCAGGCCGGAGCTAGGGAGCAGGCGCGTGGCACCCAGATCGGCGCGTCGCCGCCGCTGCCGTCGTCGGAACCCAACTGGACCTTGACTTCTTCTTCAATGGCTGCGCATGTTAACCATTCTTGATTCTTTACTCCAAGCTCAAACCCTATTGGCCTTAAAACCAATATGATTGGCTCTTCAAAAGAATTTCCCTCTTGATCCACATCATTCTCCCCCTCTTCAAAAGAATTTGTCCTCAAATTCGCATCATCCATGTAAGGAGAACAATTCCATGAAACCATCCAAATTCGACGAATACAAGCCAAAAGAACTATTACCTCAACGCTAGCAATTTTAAGCAATGTAACAACATCACCACGAGCAAGGCAATATTTTAGAAACAACCAATTCTCAATTTGGTCCTTGGTCTTCGAAGTTGACCATAAGAACACTTTAGGCTTCATGATATTTTTCTCATGTATGACTAACAATTTCTTCTCTTTATGCATGCCTAATGAATCCACCACTTCTAAAGAAACCATTAAATTATTATCTTGATTCACGAATGGCTCCTCAATAGTATCAAAAACCTTTTCCGACACCACCATTGGTAGATCATTATGAATAATCTGATCTTGAACAACGTCACACACAATTGGAACATCAATTGTTTCACTCACCTTTTCTTCGAGCTCTTTAGCACCTACATGTTCCTCTTCCTTATCCTTTTGACAATCTTCCTCCATCTCTTTAACTTTAACGCGGCATGGAATAATAGTTAAAGGAATAAGTTTGAACCTCTTGTTTCCCACCTTGACCGAATATGTGTTGGCCACACCATCATGTTTAACATGTCGATCAAATTGCCATGGTCTTCCTAAAAGAACGTGACAAGCACTCATAGGAATCACATCGCACCATAATTCTTCCTTGTAATTGCCAATGGAGAAATTCACCAAAGCTTGTTGTTCTACATGAAAACCCATAGAATTATCTAGCCAACCCAACTTATATGGTTTTTCATGATCTCTTGTAGGAAGTTGGAGTTTAGTAACCATCTCTGTAGACGCTACATTGGTACACGAACCACTATCAATGATCACCCTACAAGTTCTATCAACAACTTTGCATCGAGTATGAAACAAACTATCTTGTTGACCTTGAAAAATAATTTCTTCATGTAAATTCAGTCGCTCCATAAGCATATGTTTGTTACCAAAGCAAAAATCTACGTTATCATCTTCATGTTTTTTCTTCTTTTTATGATCTTGAAGTAACTTTGCAAATTCATCCATAGATTTGCTCAAAGCTTCCTCCATAATTATAAGACAAAAACAGACTTAAAAGACCCCAAAACACACAGGAATAACCCTCAAAAATCGCAACACAACTTGGAAGAAAATCGCACACAAAGAGCAGTAAGTATTAAATCGGACCAAAACTGACACAGTTGCGGAAAACAGTCCAGTTTAATAGCACACGAACTCGAAAAATTCCGAAATTTCACAGGCAGAAAGTAGACAAAATTTCACCCAAAATCAAAAAAAGAATCACCTGAAAAGACTTTGTAACGAAGGAGAACGAGCCTTCTGAAGTTGACAGAAAAACTGGTTATCCGAGAACAAGTGCGAATTGTTGAACGAATTGTTGAACGATCAAAAACCCCTGAAATCTGATACCAATTTGATGTGGTATCACACAAGCTCTGATACCAATTTGATGTGGATTTAAACCCCTTAACTTAATAAAGAATCTAAAATCACACAAGTAACACAAGCCCTTCGAATTTCCTAAGAAAATCGAACAACTTAAGAATAACGAACCGGATATGACTTTGAAAACGACCACTCCTGGAACGAATTCAACGCCTCTCAAATTACCTAGACCACTCCTGGAACTAAGTACTTTGATGAACAAAACTTAGACTACTCCTAGAACTAAGAATTGAACGTTCTAATTATCAAAACAACTCCTTGAATTGAAAACTAGCAAAAGAATTTGTAAGCAATTAAGCAAAACAAACAATAAACTTGTATTGAATTTTCTGGTTTTGGTTGTGTATACAAAGCCACGAAAAATCCCTTATTTATAGACTAAACTAACTATTCCTAAGTCTATTCGAACTAGGAAAAAAAAACCCTAGCCTTGATCCCCAAGTATCCTAGATAGAATAGGAAAACCAATTCTAATGGAACTAGGAAACTAGTAATAAGACTAGTTCTAATTAAACTAAAACTTCTTAAAACAATTCCTAATTGACTTAGAAATTATTTTAAACTAAAATAACAGAAATTAAGAAGATTCCTAATTGCTTAAACCAAGAAAAACCCTTTCAAGTGAAAGGTAAAAACTTGCAAGCAAAAACTCTAGAAAAAACTAAGTTAGGAAAATCTTTCTTTTCGTACTGCCGCCGAACCACCGTCTCACGCGCCGCCATCATCGACACGCGCCCCACCGCCGTGTAGCTGGACTCAGGCCGGAGCTAGGGAGCAGGCGCGTGGCACCCAGATCGGCGCGTCGCCGCCGCTGCCGTCGTCGGAACCCAACTGGACCTTGACTTCTTCTTCAATGGCTGCGCATGTTAACCATTCTTGATTCTTTACTCCAAGCTCAAACCCTATTGGCCTTAAAACCAATATGATTGGCTCTTCAAAAGAATTTCCCTCTTGATCCACATCATAACTTTTCCATCTCCCCTGCTTTATTTCTTAATAGCTCTTTATATTGTATCACCTCCACTAATTCAACATTTTTATTATTATTTTTTAATTTTTTTTTTTTTTGACAACATTAACTCAACAATTGATATTATTAACTTCTCTTATTTTATCTCTATCTTTCAATTCCATTTAATCACATTAGTCATTTAATTCATTAACTTTTTATCTTTATGTTCCCCAATCTCTAATATAAATGCAAAATTTCCACCAAAGATTATTTCCCATCACTACCTAAGTCCAAAAAATAAAGAAAAAAAAGAATATATATCTCTCTAAATTCTATGTAAAATTTTACTATAACAAGGATGAGGAAAAAAAATTGAAGCTACGAAAATAAGAGACTTGAAATATGTCAATAAAAATAAAGAGTTTTTTGTCAGAATATTATGAAAATTTCATACTATAATATTGCTTGTGTCATTAAGTTTTTTGTTATAGGATAGATGAGGAGGGTCATTATTTTCAACACATTAAGTGCACTCTAAGAGAAATTGATTTGGTAAAGAAATTTTTATTTGATTTAAAAATATAAAATTATGACAAGGTTTGATAATTAGTTTTTTTTATAGGAATTATTGATTAACTACCCTACAATAATATAATTTGATTAAACAATTTTTTAAGTCAATTTTTCTAATATGTCAAAAGCTAATGAAAAAAAAGTAATTCAAGTAATTTGTGAGTTTTAAGTATAAATAATAACTTAAACACAATCCGTGCTAGTCCAAAAGCTAGTTTAATTAAGTAAGGTACTACCATTATTTTCTTAACACTATAAGAGAAAATATATTAATTAGCTCGGGCTAGACACAGCAGAGCGGAGACCCGGGAGCGGATTCCCCACCGACAGGGGGGACAGGAGATGGCCCAACCTTTTGGGTTGAGCGCCCGCCTCCTCTTCGTGTAGGAGTCTAGAAATGTTCAAGTATAATTATCACACTATATATTACAAATGAAAATTTCGTGATAACTACCTAAATAAATACAACACAAATAAGCGAGTGCAAAAGTGCATATTGTTCCATCCAAAAGCATGAATATTACCCCTTTCTTTTTTCTTTTTTCTTTTTTTCTTTTTTATGAGAAAGCATGAAGATTATTTAGAAAAAAGTAGAAAAGTTAATATTTTTTCTATCTAAGATGCAAGGACATACAAAGTAAGTAGATAAATAAATAAATATTATCTTTATTCTTCTAGAGGTCAAATTTTTCTTTTGCATTTTTATTGGGTATAGGTTACTAAGTTGCTTCAATTTTTGAAGAGAAGACCGAGATAAAGAAGCATTTCCGGTAGCAAATAAATAATTAATTACCAAGAACTTTTACCAGAATCGCATTATGGCAATTATATACAAGTATAACAAAAAAAGAACCACTATTCAAAAAAAAAAAAAAAAAACAAAACAAAAAGAACCAAATCAAATGTAACAATCTTATCATATATTCATATCACACAAATCATACACAACTTGCAATAACACATAATGTACATGTCTAATGGTCAAACTTTCAAGAATTAGTCAAAGAAAGCTAAGGCAGTAAACTATATCTTTCCAACAAGATATAATACACATCATCTGTGCTATCAATATATCATATTCATAGATGATCATTAGCTGGAAGTGCAATCTTGTCCGGTGAAGGTACATACGAGATTGAGATCAACTCTGACCTAAGCTCTTCTTCTTTATCCGCACCTATCACCAAAGCAGCACCATGATCATTTGTAGATTCCTTGCCCGATTCGAAACTGAGAATATCAGGTAGAGACTCAGACTCGAGTTTTTCTGGTAGAGACTCAGAAATTGCAATAAGCAATTCTCTGGCCAGATCCAAAGAAACCTCCTTGCCAAGTGATGGGTTTTCAGCCATACACAGTCTGTTTTACTTCCTGAACAAAACAGGAAATATCAAAATCAATCATTGAATAAGTTCAACACACAAAATCAATCATTGAATAAGTTCAACACACAAAATCAAATTCAACTATGGAAAGTGTACATCAGGTTAAATGAAGATAAACACTCTCATTTCATACAGATTGAAGATTTTCTACACAATACAATTGTAACACCCCTATACTTTTTATCAATTATTAATAATTATAATCTTTATACATTAACTAATGCACTAAAAATCTCAAAGGAAACAATGAAAGCAATAGTGATTACTGGGATCACAGATAATATATCACATCTCCCGCAGGTAGCAAAGAGGCCGATTCAACTTATAGGATAATATTAAATAAAATAACTGCATAACTATTAATAACAATTTTCACACACCTATTATTCTTCTAGGAGTTCAATCAGGTAAGACACTTTGCAAAGAAGTCTGAAACAATTCAACTGATAAAGGTGGATCACAAAGTGGGGACTTACAAGCAGAGCAATAAAGTACAAGCTCAGATACCTAGTAACTTAAGATGTTAAGCACTTGGCTGAGGTTTAAGATCAAAAAAAAAAAAAAAAGAGAGCAAAATCTGAGCTTTATACAAGTTCTACAACAATCAAGAACCAGAAAAGATTACTTTGTATATTTCACACTTGCCTGTGTAAGTATATGAGGCTAATTTTGTACAAGAACATTCAAAATGCATGATTCAAGTAAAGCAAGCAGAATCACCAACAACTTCATAAATATAATACCCATAATACCTAGATCAACCAGGGTATATCATTGTTTTAAAAAATATATAAAAACAAAGATCAAATCAAATTACCTGCACAAACTATTATAGAAACAGTTCAAAATAGTTTTTATCAGCTTAAAATAACCACCAATCAAAAACAAAGTTAAACCACAAGCAAAAGTAAAGAGTGTCACCCTTTATTACCATGATTGCCAAGCCTAACTATCTAAGGAAAAGACCTTAATCCTAAGTACCTGTTAATAATCAATTGATTTGTCTTCACAAATACCAGAATAGACCAGCCTTATAGCAAATGTTCATGAATCCGCACAAGCTGGCACTACAAACTTAATTCTAGTAATGACACACTACAAAATCAGTAAGTAAACCATATAATTCTCCACCACCTCAGATTGGGGAAGCACAAATAATTATTGCCTATAGGCCATTACTTGTGCCACTTGGGAACTAATCAAGCCCAGAATAGAACAAACAATAATGACAAAAATCACATTCACAAAAGAAAGTGTAAATGTAATAATGTACCATGGTAGTAAACAAAATGATCAATTTCGGGGAAATTTTAGTAAAATTAATACTAGCAATTACTTTTACAATTTTTTTATAAACAATTTGACCAAAATACATATAATTTTAACCGATCCTGGAAAATAATTCTTATTCCTCCACTCGTAGACGGTTAGACCTAGGCCAGGCAATCCATAAGTACATCCAAATTTGCAATGGTGTATATTTTGTCCATGTTCATAAAAAATTCTTTCACAGAAAGTCGATCAATTTGCTCATGAAAAGGAAATACAATTGAGGAGAGTCAGGAGCCGTAACGCCCAAGAAATCAATCAAGATCTTCCTCCACATCAAGCAATGATCTAAAACCCAAATTCAACTAAAAATAGGAGTAAATAATGTTAAAAAAAACCTACAATAGTGTCTCAATACCTTATTTCTACTACCTTGATCTTAGTCCATGACTAAATCTAGAATGAACCCTATCAATTATTGATAACTTTTTCGACGAAAACGACCTGCTAAACTTTTTACTCAATTCATCAAAAAATCCAAACAAACAAACAAATTTCATATGCCCCCACTCAAACTTGAGAAACAAACAACACATCAATATTAAACCACTGTAGATCATATACCAACAGACCCACATCATAAAATTGAGATATAAACATTAATTAAATCTAATAATAATATCATACTATGAAACCATCAATTAAAAAAAATCGCTAAAATAAAGTTTATCTTTCCAAAAATTCGATTCTTTTTCCAGCAAAACCCCAATCAATCAATCAATCAATCAATCATAAAACCCTTAAATATTATATCAAACCCCAAGAATAGAGCAGCATATCAATCACAATCGATTATTCGTTCTTTAACTTTTTTATCTATAGTCCTAATAAAATTTGCAGCAGGCGATCGATTTTACGATTTCAATAACATCAAAAATAGCAAGAAAATTTGTAATTCGACAAAAAAAAATTTGAAAAAATATATAAATTAAAAAATAAGAAAAAAAAAAAGGTGGGAGAGAGATGGGTGAACGCACCTTTGGTAAGATGGTTGTAAATTGCAGAGAATGAAGAGAAGGAGACGATAAAGAATTTTGTTTGACAATTCAAGCACGATGTCTTTGTCTGAAAGAATTTTCTAGAATTTCGTTTTTATTCCTATTTTTGCCTTTTTTTGTGGGTTTGAAAGCCTTTTTTTGTGGGTTTGAAAGCCTTTTTATTTTTGGTCAAATTAAGGAATGGATAATAATGCTTTCATAGTTGCCGTCAAAAATAATTACTCTTTACGTCCCTTGTTTAGTTTCTAACTAGTTCAAACCCCGTGCTTTGCACGGTTTTTACAGTAATATTCTGTTATTCGTTTATTAAAAATGTTACATACAAAACATGATCATTGAAAGTAAAAAAAAAAAACATATTCATGTATGTGGTATACCATGAGATGTATCTATAGACCTTACAAAATATGCAAAAGAAAATACTGTTCTTATGAATAGTTCTTTGTGGTGCTATTACAAAGACACCCTTACATTTAATGAGTTGCCGGATTTGCCCTTGCTTAGCTTTGTACATTTGCTTGCCATGGAGGATACAGCTGTTCTTTAGGCCTTCCTTTGACTGCCAGCTAAGGTTGGTTGATGCTTGGCTGCTATTTCTCATTTCCTCGACTCTCCTTTCACCGACTTCCTTCTCTCTCTCTCAGAAACCTAGAGAGAGAAATCTTCGACACCAGTGATCGGTGCTCTCAGATTATTAATCGAAATTCAGCAATCACCGATCATCCATTCGATGATGATTATGGGGCTTCGGTTCTTCTTTGGGGTAAGATCTTTATCCTTTTTATAAGCATCTAATATCAATTTGACAATCTAGGGTATAGCTATAATTTTATAGAAGTCCACTAATCCTTTTTTGGTAATTCTTCTTAATTAATAATCTGAATTTCGATTGAAAAATCAAAGGTAATTCTTCTTAATTAATTTTCTAAATTTTGATTAAAAAATCGAACTATTTCTTGATGAAGAAGCGGTGATTTCGTTCTTTTGATTTTGGTTAAAAAATCGAACTACTACCAAGCTGCTCAGGTTTGTGTGTTTTCTTTTTTTTTTTTTTTTTTGTTTGTTTTTTTCCTGGTTTTTAGGGTTTAGATGTTCAATTTTGCGGAGATCTGTCTAAATAAAAGATTTAATTCGATTTGTATTTGTTATTTTGAATTTATTCTCTGATTTTGCTGCTCTATATGGAAGAATAACGTACATGTATGTAGTGTTTCCATTAGGTAGGTGAGTTTGCTTGCGCATGAATTTAGCGGATAAGCCCCCTTTTGATAGAGCTTTTGTGAGTGTTGATCAAGGTTCTTTCACTTCTTTGGTGCAAGTGTACTTTAGAAATCATTGTTTGAACAAAAATGTTTTATTAGCAAATTTGTTTTAAGTGATTGTTTAAATTCAACCAGTTCAAGATTTTTGGTTCTGTTGACAGTTTTCTCACTAGCTGATATTGGTTCTATTTGTAACAGCTACCACAGCTCGTTGCTGAAAATGTTCTGGCTTTCAATGAGGGTTTCTGGATTCGGCTTGCTGCCAGAACTGATACCTGCAAATCAGAGGATGATAAAGCATGGTTTCTTCACTATTATCATTATTTTTCCGTTGAATACTAAGTTGTGGATTCTTATTTCCATGAAAAATGACCCGGATTTGTTGGCATGCAGAAAGATTATGAAGAATTGGCAGCAACGCTAATGAGTACAGTAGACCGTCTTGTTCCCAAAACCAATGCATGTCTTGTTTTAATTGGGATAACCTTCCATTCAATCCAGTCACCTTGTTCAGTGCTTGATCTTATGTTCTTAATTCTTTTTGTGAAGGAAAAAATTGAGTCAGCTACCGATGTTTTAAAATCAATCCTCAAACATGTGCCCTGAAGCTCTCAGTCTGATGGAACAGGCATGTCCATCATCTTGTATACTAATTATTTTTTGTTATTTTGACACTGTGGTTATTGATATAGTATGTCTATTGCATGTATTTTAAAACTTATTAGTTGCTTATCATATTAAGTGTAACTGAACTTAATTGACCTTTTGTTCTCATTGTTTCTTAATTTGTCCCATTTTTTTTGTAACTTTGTTGTAAAACTTTTTTACTATTACTGTAATTGAGCTTGGTGTAGCAAAAAATTGACTTGGTTGGTTTCAGAAAGTTATGATCTTGGGTTTTATTTGATTCGCATTCGCCGAATTCAAATGCATATGTATCTGTTAAGTGCTCTATGTCCATCTACATGGAAATGGGTTTGCTATGTAAACACATTATTGATGACATGTTGCAAACATACAATGAAATGGGTTTGTAAAGTCTATAAGATTATAATATTTCAGTTCATTATCCAATTCGATCAAGGGTATTATTTGAGTCATAAGGCAATTTGCACATTCTAACTTGAGCCTGGTCTGCTTAACAGGAAGGTAGTTTATAAGAACCTACTGTGGACTGTGGTTAGTAAGAGAAATGGAGGATGTTGTGGAGCAACAGAATCCATCACTAGGTAGTTTATGATATATTTTTTCTATAAATCGCCTATCTCTAAAATTGGAAATTAGATTCTATATTCACTCAACCAAATACCGCAAATCATACTCCTATATACCTTCTATAAATCTCACATTGCTATACTCCTTTGAAGGTGAAGAAGGAGAGAGTGATATAGTAACTGAACAGGCTACCTTTGTCCATGGAGCACCTCATCAAGATGATAATGGCCCCCCTAAAGTAGATGCTGAAGTTAAGCTTCTTCATGAGAAAGTTACCAAGCAAATAATCAAAGAAGGTCACGGTGAAAAACCATCCAAATATTCCACATGCTTTGGTAAGTATAATTGGCCTCCATCTTAGTCTCTTAGATGTTCCCCACTGAAAATTCAAATTGTTGCGATTTTTGTACACTTGGTTACTATTGACTACAAAAAAAATTTCCTTTTCTTTCACTGCCTTGTCACTACGTGTGTCATATAACTAATTGAAATTTCACCAAAATTGGCTGATATTGCAAAATTGCAATAACATACAAATACATTATGTACATATATATATATATATATATATATATATATATATATATATATATATATATATATATATATATATATATATATATATATATATATATGTATATGTATATATATATATGTATATGTATATATATATATATATGTATATATAGCTATTGAGATTGTAGGTAACTTGAAAATTTCTTGTTTTTTTACGATTTTAAGGGTTATTATTATTATTTTTTAATTTTATTTCATTGTGCCTGCAATTTAGAAGAGGTGACACTGTTACAAAAAAGCACAAGGTGAGGTGTTTCCTAGAGTACTTGCATGTCAGTTTGGCTGCTATTTTTTTCTCCTATGCTACAGCATCGTCTAGCTCACTGCTGTTTTTAATCATGGTCATCCTCTTACATTTTGCATATTGCTTTTTAGACATCTTTTATTACCATGAGCATCATGATACTTTGGCTATTGTTCTCTTCAACTAATGATGTAGTCTTATTTGACTTGTATACAGGTTGAGTATGATGATGGAGATGAGGAGGTTTTAAATCTGAGAACTGAACAATGGGAAATCCTAGGCGATGAAATTCCAACTGATATCGTAGGTGTTCTCCCCCCTTCCCTTTGACATCTCTCTATTTCATTACAAATCCTTGTACTAAAGTCCTGACAATAATTAATTTATTACCCAGGACATATTCGTTGATAAGAAATCTCCTCAACCACGCTCAACTACGGAAGCATTCCTTCTGACTGCTTGAGGAGTTAAAAGCTTTCCATTCTGACTATTCTTTATTACTTTGGTGCACTGTAATTAAGCATACATGATGCTTATCTTGTAGCATAGATTGACTGCATAGTTTCACTCATAAGTGTCTAATGAGCTCAGTAAAGTTGTTTGGGGTTATGTCATGTAATTTGTTGCATGCTAGACTTGATAAATTATGCTTATAATTTCAATATAGTAACCTACAGAATTATTCTTCTGTTTAGTATATATTATTCACCTGTATGTGATGCAATCAGGCCAAAACGAGAAGGGTCAACAGTGTGTGAGAAGGAAACCTCTCAGACCAACACTAGGAATAGGGAGATAATGCCCGAGTCTGAGGCTGAAGTTGATGATGGAAGCCATCAAGTTGCCGAGGTTGTGGAGAAAGTGAAGACACCGGAGGGTTTGAGTGAGATGAAAAGACCAAGATTATCGGATGGACAGAAGTCATGACTATATTTTTGTTGTTCAAATCTTCTTCCTGCTGTGAATTAGTGGAGGAATTTAAGGTAGATTCAAAAGAAAACAATTTTGTACCAGATTGCTAATGTAATATATAGGGTGTAATGATTTTGTAAGCTAGAGAATGTTCCAGGGGTTTAGTTAGGATTAGATGGATTTACCCGAGTATGTTCAGGTTTTGATGGGGCATCTTCTTGCTAAAGGGCAACTATAATTAATTTATCAGCCCAAAGGCTCAATTTTGTACACATCAAACTAGATACTTAGAATATCTCGTTATTTTCAGTATTGATTGTTGTTGTGGTTCCTTGATCGTGTGCTTGATATAGATTGATTTGATTCTTGTCAAACTAAGTTAATATGTTCTTTTGGATACATGTACAATCTAAGAATATGATCAATTTGTTTTGTTCTGGATAATTTGGAGTGGAAGTTGTTGCATGTCAAATTGTTAGCTGGTTGTACATTAAGCTCTTTTTTTTTTTTTTTTTTTTTCAATAACTGTACATTAAGCTTTTAAAGGTGAAAACATCCTATTTTCTGGGTTATTAAAGAGGAGTATTGTAAGATAGGTGATTTTTAAACGCATCACTTTTACTTATATTGCCCTAAATAACACTAGCCTCTTTACTTAATAGGCAGAGCATTATGCAAATTTGCGCTTGAACTCCACAATTTTATTTATCCGTTATGTGATAGTCAAACTACTTTATATGCTTTGGATATAGGAAGAAGTCCAATCAATTTCTTAATGTGTTTCACTTTGGAGATTGTATGCATATGATATCAGATACAGAGAGAGAGGAAATGAAAAAAGTAAGAAGAGATACTTTTTAGGTGTAATTAAGGAGATGAAAATAGGTTTTAGAAACTTTCAAAACTACTCAAAATTATAAAACATAAATAAAAGAAATTGGAAGTTAAAGGGATAGAGAAACAGAGTGACCAAGAAAGAGGGAATAGAAATCGACAATTAGAATTGGACAATTTTCAAATCTTTCACTAAATGATATTCGTTAACAAATGTGGTTTTGTGATAATTATGAAAATATTAACTAATTTGTAGCACTTTTAGAATAAAACTTTTAACCTTATTGTAGAATTGTGCTAGATTCACCGGTAAATGTATTTTTGAATGTTTAATTAACCATAGTAATAGATAGATTTTAAGAGATAAAATGAAAGAAGGATGGAGGGAGGTGAATAGAGGAAGAGAAAGAGGGACTGGGAGGAGGAAGAGAGAGAGAAGAAAAAAGGGAGGGAGTAGGAGGAGTGAGAGAGAGAGAGAGAGGAACTAGGGAAGGAGTTGGAGAAGAGAAAGAAAGGGTGGGAGGGAGTTAGACGAGAGAGAGGTGTGAGAAAGAGAGAGAGAAGGGTCGGGATAGAGAGAAAGAGAGAGAGAGAGGGTGGGAGAAAAAAAAAAGAGATAAGGGCCGAAAGAGAAAGAAATAGGTCAATTAAGATAAAGAAGGGCAAGGAGAGAGAGATAGAGTGATAAAGAAATAGATGAGTTGTGAAAGAGGGAGGAATCAAGATAGAATAGGAGAGAGAGGGAGAGAGATAGAGATGAGCCAAGAGGAGAGGGAGGGAGAGAGAGAGAGGCTGGGAGAAGGAAAAAAAAGAGATAAGGGCCGAGAGAGAAAGAAATAGATTAATTAAGAGAAAAAAGGGCAAGGAGAGAGAGATAGAGTGATAAAGAAATAGATGAGTCGGGAAAAAGGGAGGAGTCAGGATAGAATAAGAGAGAAAGAAATAGAGCAATTAAGAGAAAGAAATAGAATAAGAGAGAGAGAGGGGGAGGGAAAGAGAAAAAGAAAGAGAAAGAGAGATAGAGATGAGCCAAGAGGAGAGGGAGAGAGAGAGAGAGGCTGGGAGAAAAAAAGAGATAAGGGCCGGAAGAAAAAGAAATAGAGCAATTAAGAGAAAGAAGGGCAAGGAGAGAGATAAGAGTGATAAGGAAATAGAGGGATGATTCAGGATAGAATAAGAGAGAGAGGGAGACTTACTTAATCGTTAAACCATACAAGAAGAGTAATTAGGTTGGAGAAAAAAAAAGGAACAGATGGTGAAAGAATGCAAGAATGAATAGAAAAGGGAAATGAGATAAGAAGATGAAGAAATATAACAGAGAGGGTGCTTATGAAGGAAGAAGAGATAGGAAGAACTTAAAATCAAATTAGTGACTACCACAGAAATAAGATCCCCTAATCATCATGTTAATAAACACCCCAAACTACGAAACATGATCAAAATTCCACAAATCTAACATATCATATCGTGGTGTTTGTGTGGGGGGGGGGGAGTGCGTAGTGTGTTCTCCAACGACTATAATCTTAAATATAAAAGTGTAAAGCTATTCCCTCCAACTGTATTTTAAAAAAGTAAATAGTACATCAAATAATTTATAGATAAATGACCAGTTAATAAACTTTAATACATACACAAATGATATTTCTCATTCATTTTATACCTTCCGTATCGATTACAAAATCTAATTAATATAATTTTTCAATAGAAGAACCACTCGAAAAGTTTCTACTTAAAAAAGTCTAATAAACTAATATATCATTAGTATTGCATTTTTTTTATTACTACTCTTTATTATCACAATCATTTTAAAATGAAGCTATTCGAAAATAATATCTAAAACAATACTATAATTTTTTAAGAATCTTTGAGTTACAACAAATTCTAGATAACTTCACTTATAATAATTGTTTTTCCATAGAAACTTTAACACTACTCCTTGTTAGTACTTACAAATTCATGTATTCTTATTATTACAAAACTCGAACACAACCACGAAATTTACTTATCTTACCGTCGGGGGGGCACGCGCAACGCGCGTGCTCCAACGACTAGTCTCAATAAATATACACATGTTGCCAAAAAAAAAAAGACTCATTAATAAGAAGTTTAGTTGCAAACAATGTTCTTGAAACACCAATGGCTCAAAGCTAGGAAATTAACAAAGAGATATTAGAAGATAACAAAAAATAATATAAGATATATTGTAGGAAAATTTTCTTTTTTGAATATGTCTCTTGTAACAAACTTTTTTAAAAGAATAAAAAAATAAAAACAAAAAGTTTAAGCGGGAATATTTTTACTCAGAGGGTGACACGTGTAATAGGGGATAATATTGGAGATTACTTTAGTATATAGGTATTGATTGGTAATTTTCAAAGGAATTAATAAACATATATTAAAGCGGTAAAAATACATTGAAAGGGTAAATTTATATTAAGTATGCAAAAAGTAAAGAGACAAAGTAATAAAAGGACATGAAAAAAAAAATTTATATGGAAAAGTTAAATTTGCACAAATATTTTTTGCAAATAGGAGGGAATGAAAAAAATTATTGTTACTTGAAAAAAGCAAGTGGAACTATCAATTTGAGACTTAAAATTGTTCATAAAGGACTATCAATAAGGAACGGAGGGAGAACGTACGGAGTATTATAAATATTGGGGGAAGTTTAGTTAACATATTGCCTTAAAAGTAATTAGTAGATTAGACAAATGAAAATTTGGATATAGTTGGCAATCATGACTCGCCCCGTGATCTGAAATTGACCTGAAAACGTAGATTCGAAATTAACCCAAACACAAACCTGACCCGACCCGATCCTTACTGTAGGGAATATTTCAAGCATTACCCAAACTTGAACCCCACTGTGATCATACACTAAATCATGGTGGCGTCCAAAGTAGGGGTGTCCATAATTCGGATAAAAACCGAAATCCAATCCAATCCAAACCGAATTATCAATTCGGATCGGATCCGAACTTTAAATCGGATCGGATCGGATTGAGATTTTTTGAAAATTCGGATTTTCGGATCAGATCGGATTGACCCTATTCGGATCCAATTAAAACCGAACACCGAAATTTAGTTACCAACATTTATATAATGGTCTGCTGTAGTTTATAATTGGGCCTTTTAAATTTAGCCCAAATACAGACTATATAACTAAAAACCCTAAATTTGCCTCTTTCAGTCTTCATTACTCCTCAAGACCTCAACGCCTCCTAACTCCCTCATTCCCTCAACTTATCAAGCGCTCTTTCTTCATCATCTATTCATCTCATGAAAATTTAAATCAAATCATTCCTTATTCTGATCTCACAATCCTAAACCACTTAAGGTAATTTGCTACCCTTCTTCTATTGTTTTTTTTTTGTTGAATTTCAACTAAATTTTTTAAATTTATTCGTAATTATACTTGCAGAGTTGCAGTATGTCGCGAGTCTCACGCAAAGGGGGGGTTGAAGCTAATAATGTTGAAGCTAATAATGCTGAAAGTAATGTTGATGTTGAAGTTACTTCAAACAACAAACCAAAGACAGAAAAGGGTAAGAGGAAGAGGATGAAAGACAGATCTGGGGTTTGGGATCACTTCGACAAAGAGGAAACGAGTAAGGGGCTAAAGGCAGTCTGCAAGTATTGCAAGACGGCGTATAATTGTGACCCTAAAAAGAATGGAACCAGCCCTTTGCGGGCTCATATCTCTAAATGTCGTAAGTATCCCTATGCTACTCCAAAAGAATGCAAGCAAAGCTTACTTTCTTTTCAAAATGGTAGTAATAAAGCATGTGGAGGTATTAGGGGTTTGACTTATCAGAAACTTGACCCTGTTAGCATTAGAAAAGCACTATCTTTTATGGTAATTGTTGATGAACTGCCTTTCAAGGTTGTTGAGGGTCAAGGTTTTAAGTATTTCTGTAGTGTTATGGAACCTAGGTTTCATGTACCTTC